AGGAGGCTCGTCCGTCCGATGATCTGATGGGCGCCATACTGTAATGAATTTTCAACAATTAAGAAAAATTAATTCTCGACTTTAAATAAAGAACCACTGAAATGATAAAAAAGGTAATGATTTCCTGTTAGACGGTTGTTTGAGTGGCGCGGCGGCTTCGCTATTATGTCGTCATAAACAGAAAGTTAGAACGTTGGAAGAATATCATTAAGTGTGAGCAACCTCGCGCATTTAATGTGTCTCACCATCAGCAACAACCCGTCTGAGGGAAGTACAACTTTATGTGTATTCCTCCTAGGCATGGCATTGGGAAAAGGTCTCTTTGTAAGATGCTCAGCCTGCATCTGTTTACCTGCAAGCAATTTCTCTCACATTATATTGGTTTTTCCAGGCATTTCAAGGTATGCATGTTATAGATAGATGGCAGAGTATTGCAGATTATTATATTGTCAGTTGTTACGCATTGTAGACTTGTCTATTTCTCTCGGGTTTATAATTCTAGATATTTGTAGTGGTTGTTTCCAGGCCCTTTTGGTCAGACTGTAGATTAATAGATTGCAGATTATTACTATTACGTTATTGCTGGTTTGCGGATTGCTACATTGTCAGCTTGTCACTTTCTCTCCAGTTTGTAACTGAACTTTTAATATGAGTTTTGTTCAGGCATGTTTGGTCAGACACTATTCTCAGACATAAAGGTTCAAAAGTTGTGGGGCACTACCTTTTTAAAAGGTACATGTACTCATTAAATACTAGTGTGTACTTTTGAGGCACTAATATGTACCTTTTGAAAGAGTACTGTCCTAGTGACAGCTTTTGTACTTTTTTTCTGAGAGCGATAGACTGCAGATTATTGCCATATGATATGCTTTATTTGTAGCTATATAATTGTCTTGATTAGCATTTAGAAGTGCATATTATTACTTGTTATGGGCCTGTTGTTGGTTTGATAATTTCTCTCATACTAATATTTGAATATTATTATGTTGTTTGTTACCAGGTGATTTCTTGTCTGGCCGACCGATGGATAGATAGCAGATTATTGCAGATTGTTACATTGTCGGCTAGTTTATTTCTTTTGGATTTAGAATAGCAGATTATTATGATTTGGTTGTTTTAAGACCTTTTTGTTCAGGCACTCTAGATAGATATCATCTTGTTTGGCATTAATATTTGCAGATATTATTTGTTATGTTGACAAATAGATTTGTTGCTGACTGTTGTTGCGCTTTGTGTATTTTGCAATCTTCTATACAATTTATACATAAATCATGTTATTTGTTATATTCCATTTTCAGATAGATGGATTGCTGATTGTTGTAATGCTTTATTTGTGTTTTGGCATGTTGTTTAGTATTAATACTTGCAGATTGTTAGTATTTGATAGGCTATAGGATGTCAGATATGTAGACTGATTACTGATTGTTATCTCTTTTTTATATTCATGACTGACAACTGTTAATTGTTGAGTTATATTGTCAGATTGATTGCTGATCATTGTATGCTTTTATTTGTATTTTGTCATTTTGTTTAATAATTAATCATATCAGATTGTTATTTCCTCAATAGATAGATAGATGATTGTTGTTACATTGTGTTTGTATGTTGTCATCTTTTTTCATTTTCATAATTGCTGACTGCTATTTGTTGTATTATATTGTCAGATAGATAGATTGATACCTGATTTCTGTAATGCTTTATTTGTGTTTTGTCATTTTTTTTAGTATTAATACGTGCAGATTGTTATTTGTTCTAATATAGTGTCAGATAGATAGGTAAATTGATTGCTGATTGTTATGATCTTTTTGTGGGCCTATTTTGTCATCTTGTTTAATATTCATAATTGTTGACTGTTATCTGTTGCACTATATTGTCAGATAGATAGATTGATACCTGATTGTTATAATGCTTTATTTCTATCTTGTCATTTTTAGCATTAATAATTGCAGACTGTTGTTATACTGACATCATTGTATGCTTTTATTTGTATTTTGTCATTTTGTTTAATAATTAATCATATCAGATTGTTATTTCCTCAATAGATAGATAGATGATTGTTGTTACATTGTGTTTGTATGTTGTCATCTTTTTTCATTTTCATAATTGCTGACTGCTATTTGTTGTATTATATTGTCAGATAGATAGATAGATAGATAGATAGATAATGTCCTTTCAGGAGAAGGGGGTGGTGGCGGAGACAGACAGATAGATAGATAGATAGATAGATGGTGTCCTTCCAGGAGAAGGGGGTGGTGGCAGGGACAGACAGACAGATAGATAGATAGATAGATAGATAGATATCCTTCCAAGAGAAGGGGGGTAGGTAGATAGATAGATAGATAGATAGACAGACAACGGGGTGGTGGCAGGGACAGACAGATAGATAGATAGATAGATAATGTCCTTCCAGGAGAAGGGGGTGGTGGCGGGGACAGACAGACAGACAGATAGATAGATAGATAGATAGATAGATGTCCTTCCAAGAGAAGGGGGTGGTGGCGGGGATAGATAGATAGATGGATGGATGGATAGATAGATAGATAGATAGATAGATAGATAGATAGATAGACAGACAGACAGACAGACAGACAGACAGACAGCAATTTGGCAGGTCTGAGAATGTTCCTATCATGCTTTGCCGTGAAAAAGAGAAAGTCCATTGTCTTGTATGAATATTCTGTCCATTGTGGCTTGCTGAGAATCATAATTAACTGCCATTATGAATGTGGAATCAGAAAGCTGCCACCTTCCTGTTCTGTTCCAGCTGACCTTTGCATTCTGTTCAACATTTCTAATTCATTCAACATCCAGCCGTCAATGGTAATTGTAGACCTCCTAGGGAAATTGCAGTGCTTGGGAGATAGCCAAGTGCTGAATGGCACAAAGATGGTCTTCCAAAATAACGCAATAATGAACAGTTCACGCCTGTCATTCTTTACCTAATAATTCTGTAAGGATTAAATGTGAAAGTCTTTCAGCTTCTTCTTAAAAAACAAAAAACATTAATTCACTTTAATTGAAAAAAAAAAAATCAATCTTAGTCTTCCTGTAATTTTGAGGTTTTCCTGAGAATTTATTTTCCAGGTGTGTTTTATTAGGATTGGAGCTAAACTCTAAAATAATTTCTTTGACAAATGTACCAATTGGTATGGATGGTACGGTTAAATTATTCAAATTAAATAGCATTGAATATGTCAAGGGAGTCAAGATTACCTGAGGGGCATTGCACAAAAGCAAGATAAGGGATTAAGCTGGGATTTTCCAGTTATACTGGCTGAATTTAGCCCTGACTCAGTTGCATGAAAGCAGGCTAAATTAAGTTACTATGGAGATTTATTCTTTGCAGCTACCAGCTAACAACCAGGCTAAGATTAATCCTAGTGATTTATCTGTTAGTTCCGCTGTCAATCCTACTAGAAATTAATGTTTTACAGTCACTCCATGGTCTTTTGTAAATATGTTGCATCATTTTAATTATCCTGCATTAAAATACCAGATATACTGTCTTTCATCTAAGTATGCCTACTGTTATTTTAGTGTTATTGTGAAGACTGCTGTTCATATTGCTGTCAGAGGTTTGATGAATACATATATTATTGCAGTTGTTGAGATTTGAAGAAATGGCTGGTGAAGTTGCAAAGGTGGTTTCATTTAAGTCCTTGACGAGGTCAATATGTAGTATATATAGGCTAAAGTCCGATTCAGGTGTTTCCTCTTAACCCTCAATCGGCCCTTAGGGTCAATATGACCCCAATCAACATTTACTTAGTTTAAAAAAATGGTTCCCTTCATCTCAGTGGAATAAGATTTTGTGACTTTTCCACATTTTATATCTATATTCACATAAAAAAACTGGGCTTGATTCGGTTGTTCTGAAGGTATGTAAAAAAATTATTTACAAATCTGTCCCTTGGGGTCAATATGACCCCACATTGAAATGAATGGGAAATGTGAAAAAATTTATATATTTTTTTTTCATTTGTCAAAAAAAATTAAATAAATCCGGCATAAATCTGAAAATTTCCACACAGAAATGAAGGCCTGGTACTAGAGCACAAATGCAATGTATAAAAGACATGCTCACTCACTCACACACACACACACACAAACAAACAAACACACGCAGGTATGATTGCCACAGAGAGCATTTGTATAGAATTTGGCAAAATAAAATCAGCCAAAAATGCAGAACAAAGATATAAAGGGGTGAGACCTAATGCATGCACACGGGCACACTCACACACACACAGACAGACACATGCACTCTCTCTCTCTCTCTCACCCACCCACCCACACACACACAGACAGACAGACACATGCACTCTCTCTCTCCCTCTCTCTCTCTCTCTCTCACACACACACACACAGACAGACACACACACACACCGATGGCGTGCCCTTTGTTGGATGATGTACTAGACGAGGAAGTGTTAATACTCAGACGAGCATTCAGGCATGAAAGTCTTCCAGGACAGGTCAGACCCGTTGGCCTTTGCAGACGAATATCTGACTGAGAGGTACAGATTCTCAGATGATGGCATCCGATATTTGTGTAGGCTGCTGGGTCCAAAAATCACGCTGCGATTCTTAGCAAGTGGCATGTTCCTTTATTCTGTTGGAGATGCTGAAAACCTCAATAAAGGCACTATTTGCCGCACGATAAGAAATGTTAGTCTAGCACTGAAATCACTTGCGCACATATTCATCACCTTCCCTGGCCACAGAAGATTCCTCCACATCAAGGAGGAGTTCTACAAGATTGCAGGTAACACGAACTACAGATTACAAGAAAAAAGTGTTACATTAGCACAGTCACAGTAGGACACTCATTATTTTGTGTTACAGCTTTCCCTAATGTCATTGGTGCAGTGGATTGCACCCATATCCGTAACATGAGGGAGATTGTGTTAACAGGAAATCCTTCCACAGTATCATTGTTCAGGTAAGAATGATTTATGGTTACTGTCAGCTACATAAATTAATTCTGTGCATTAAATGACCTTAATCATGACCTTCTGGAGTCCAGCGACACGGTCTCATCATTGGCAGAAGTGCACTCCACTGCTGCAGATGTGCCTTCCTTTCTTTGCTTAATAAAACTTTAGTTCTGTTAAAAAAAAAAAAGGCTGTGAAGAGTTAAGATCTTGGCAAAGGAGTGTTGCATATAAATGTGGCGTGATCTTTGCCAGTTGAGACTGCTGTCAGCCTTTTTGCATTTGACCTTTCACCCTGAAACATTCTGAAAGACAAATAAATGAAAATAAATACATGAACATTTTCCAGTCATAATGTGTGATTTCTTAAATGGCACGCTTAGTGATATTAGATTTCAAGAAGTGAAGATCACCAAAGTAAAGTATTGAAAGACTTATAACATTTAATCATCAAGACAGAACTTTCAAACAATACATATTTTGCACCATTGGAAAAACATTGGCATGTAAAGACTTAAACATGTAGTGGATATGGAGTTAAAGGAAAGTGTTTGAGCGCATACACAGTCAAAGGAAGCAATGCTCGCCCTCAGATTAGGGGCAGTGCAAATCAAACAATAAGCATTGGCTAATAAGGATCCTCATAAGTGAGAACCATATGATAGGCATATCAATTATTTATGCAGACAATTACAGTATCTGAAGAGGGCCACACAAACGGGACTCAAACATACCTTTCAAACTTCAAATTCAAAAGGATTACTCGCCCACTTACAATACAATACGATACTGCGATGCCATATCTACTTCTTTTGCACTAGAGGAAAACAAGGTAATAGTTTACACAGGACAGTCTCATCATCTGAAAACAGCCTCATGTGTTTATGGGTTTTACGGTAATACATTAAACCGATTTCTTATTAGGTTTTACAAGTCTTAAACAATACTGACCTCAGCAGTCTCTTCCTAAATATTTACAGGGAGAGAGAGGTATCAAAATGTCTTTATACTGCATCACAATGCAAAAGAAAGCAGGTAAATCCAAACCGCTCGCTATTGGCCACAGGAAAACAGTCACAGTCTGAATCAGTCATTGAAGATTAAAACAAGCTCAATAAAAATATCAGCCAAAGACAGTGATATACAGAAGAGAAATGCATAGGATTGACTTCTTACCAACTCAGTATGGAGACTTGTATTAATGGTCACAGTCTGAATCAGTCATTGAAGATTAAAACAAGCTCAATAAAAATATCAGCCAAAGACAGTGATATACAGAGGAGAAATGCATAGGATTGACTTCTTACCAACTCAGTATGGAGACTTGTATTAACGGTGGCAACACACACACACACACACACACAAGACAGAGGAAGAGCTCTCTGTTTAAATTAAGGAATGTCTCAAAACCTGTCCATGTCATACTTCACCCCAAAATCAAAAGAAAAAGGAATTCATAAAAGGAATTATATTGTGCATGATAAACAAGAAACCTGTTTTATTTTGTGATATTATAATTAAGCACATTTCCCCTCCAGTTCTCATTACTGTAATGCATCCTACTCCATTCTGTGTGATTTATAAGCATTTTGAAAAGTGGGGACATGGGGTAATGTCCTGAAAAGTCACCTTCTCCTTGTAATACCTATGTCATACCTTTGTCATTATACAAATTTATGTCCTCATTTGTCACAAAAACGCACACACACACACACACACACACACACGAGACAGAGGAAGAGCTCTCTGTTTAAATTGGGTGAATGTCTCGAAACCTGTCCATGTCATACTTCACCCCAAAATCAAAAGAAAAAGGGAATTCATAAAAGGAATTATATTGTGCATGATAAACAAGAAACCGGTTTTATTTTGTGATATTATAATTAAGCACATTTCCCCTCCAGTTCTCATTACTGTAATGCATCCAGATATTTTAATTTGTAGTTTTGCTGTAAGTCTCAGTTCTTAGTTATTCTCAACAGTTATCCTTATTAAATTCTCGTTATTGCTTACAAATTAGATTTTGTATTGTTATTTGATTCATTTATTTATTTACCGTGCTGCTTTTAATTAGAGATTAAAGGTAGGATAGCAAGTACTACCAAAAAGTATAAATACAAGTTTTGCATTTTCGCAGGTTTTCATATATAAATATTAAAAATAATATGGTCATGAATGTCACGATCGCTACTGTGAGGAGCACGGAGTGAGGAATGAGGAGACGAGGAGTAAACTTCAAACGAACAGACTTTAATAAACATCCAAGGAACCAGGAACACACACATAGCGGGGAAAGACGAACATTCAATACCAGACGACGAAACTCAGAACAGGACTCACTATAAATACACATGACTTATAAAATACACATGACTTGACGAGGGGATGACGAGACACACCTGGAACTAATGAACAATCAAACACATGGGAAAACTAGGTCAGGGCAGGCACATGGAGAGGGAAAAACACACAGATACAGTCCAAGGGCAGGGCTCTACGCTTATTTTTCTTTTTAGGAGCACTTGTGCTCCTAACTTAAAAAATGTAGGAGCACAGTCAAAAATTTAGGAGCACCTTCTAATCAATAATCCAAATTTTGATCAAAAATTAGCCTTCCCATTACGAGGTGATATTTGACTCCTTAAAGTGATTTACAGTGGCATTTTGTTTTTACCTTTGTAATGGCATTTTTCTAACTTTATTAAAAGTATGTAATCTTTTGTCAAATTTTTAAAAAAATTATATTTTATAAGCTTTTTAAAAATTCTTATTAAAACCACAGAATAAGAACAAGTAGAATAAGAAGAATAAGTTACT